GTCTCTCTCTGTCTCTCTCTCTCCCTCTCTCTCTCTCTCTCTCTCTCTCTCTCTCTCTCTCTCTCTCTCTCTCTCTCTCTCTCTCTCTCTCTCTCTCTCTCTCTCTCTCTCTCTCTCTCTCTCTCTCTCTCTCTCTCTCTCTCTCTCTCTCTCTCTCTCTCTCTCTCTCTCTCTCTCTCTCTCTCTCTCTCTCTCTCTCTCTCTCTCTCTCTCTGTCTCTCTCTGTCTCTCTCTCTGTCTCTCTCTCTGTCTCTCTCTCTGTCTCTCTCTCTCTCTCTCTCTCTTCTCTCTCTCTCTCTCTTTCTCTCAATCTCTTCTTTCTCTCTCTCTCTCTCTCTCTCTCTCTCTCTCTCTCTCTCTCTCTCTATCTCAATCTCTCTCTCACTCTCTCTCTGTTTTGGTGCACAAAAACATCTGTGGCGTTAATTGCTCTCTTGCCTTAGACTTCTGCCACGCCTTTGTTCTCGTACTCCCCTCTATGTACTAGTGTTGTGCAAACCCTCCTTCTAGTCTGTCTCATTTTGCCCCGAGATGTTATGATCATTCGCTGCCTTGTCACTGGACAGTTCTGTCCGTTTGGTTTTAGCGAATTCTAATAAAGAAAACAACAACAATCAGCCTTGGCGACCTCTACCTGGCTGCGCACCTATGTAGTCCGCTCCAACTACAGTCCACAGGACCAGGCTCTGCTGTGGGCTTACATAATCACAGTATTCTACGGCCTGCTTGGAGCCAGCGAGTTCCTAGCCACCAGTGCTCGAACCACTGAAGAGGACCGAACACCTTTGTGGTACGACCTGATAGCGCGAAAATCTATTCATGTCGCCCGCCAGCTGAGGCGCCGCTCTCGCCAAAGTCACAGCCCGTTCTTCAAAAAAGTACGTACTCGATGAGCTGGCTGCTTCAGTGACCGCGGGATTCGCGAACCCCACAACAACTACGATTCTGCATACATGTACATGACTTGTCCAAAACCGAATTTGAAAATTAGAGTGCATTCTACAATATGGAGAAGTCAAGGGACTTCTAAGGCTAACGTCAATATCGATGTGAAACTAAACAGTTACTTTGTCATAATTATGGAAGTCTACATACTAAAGTACATTTTCCAGAGAAATGAGTTTCAAAATTTCACCCCTAAGGTCCATTTACTGGGATCATGGCTCATATAAAGTAGCCAAGTGAGAGACAGTTTTCCGCCTAATATTCACTGCTTACGGCAGATCCTATGTGAACTCTGTATGGGAGATGCCTAATTGGCTGGACTTTATACACAGAGTGTTGTCCACATAAAGACTTGAAACTCGGATGTTGAGCCAATAATAAATGTAGAAAGGAAAGGAAGGACATATGGATACGAGTAAAGAGTAACTGTCCACCACTCACAAGACTCAGCTTTATAGTTGATTCCAAGTTAGGACTGTGTATAGTGGATTTTGGACCAACGAGAGAGCTTGGAAGCTCAGGGCCCTACGCAATGCTTTTTTGCCTAGCTCATCATGCATCAGTGTTATTAGAACTGATGGAAATGTTTTTTCCATTGATTGGCTACATCATTGTATTGCAAAAACGTTTCAATCAATTTGAATATGAGTTAGGCAAAAGTAATTGCAGAATTTATTGGGTTATATAAACTTTCTCTTTGCATTCGAGGGTAATATGACACCGTCTACCACCTTGATCACCTCGGCAAAAAGGCATAGGGATGGTATAAATTTTTCATTTCTCCAATTTTTTCAAGACAACCTGGAATTCGAACCCGCAGTATCGCCCTGCCCCCCCCCCCCCCCCCCCCCCAATACACTTTGCATACATACTCATTCTTCCAAGTTGCTTCAGGTTACGATCTTGCATTTGAAGGCCCTATTTGAACATTGTGGACAGCTCCGATAGGCATCTATTTGCCTCTGGAGGATCCGTGAAATAAAAATCAATCAATCAAATCAATCAAAGCTGTCTTTGATGGTACGGTGCGGGACAGGTACGGGATAGCGCCAGGCATCTTTTCCGTTTGCCGTTCTTCGGCAACAGCTCTCGCCTTCATCTCTGGTGCAGGTGTAATCTAGTGACTTCGTACATGTGTTATAATAGACCAATCCCTTTGTCTGGGTTCGTGGAAAGGGCCACGCGTGCAAGTCAGCTCGTGTGAAGCGCATGGCTTTGTATTTAGTTGGTATGTGGCAGCTTATGGGACAGAGAGACTTTTGCTCCCCGAGCTTGTGTATGTAAATGGTGTTTTCGTCGACCATGACGGCTACAGTGCCTAACCATACCACAACGAACTGATCGGCCACATCATTAGTTTCCATCTGCTCGAATAACATGCATGATGAGCTACAGTCCATTCAGAAAAAGATGGACTTCTAGCTTTTGGCCATAAATGGGTCAAACGTTGAGTTTTTTTAGAATTTTTTTCTGCAATCCCCTATGGAATCCTCTTCCAATTATGTTTCTGAAGTCTATTTGTCCAAAAAGCAAGTAATAGCAAGAATATGATTTCGGCCAGGTTTCGCCCCAAGAGCACTGAATTGGGAAAACCCAACAAAATCCAGGCCGTTTGACCCTGCCTGCAACTGTGCATTGTACGGTTCGAACCCCAGTTCAGGTACCCTTTTGGACCCTTTTTCAAATTTCAAATTTCGCAGCACTGCACTGTGTACGATAAAATCTTGAAAAATCGCCTAACACGGGAGCTCGCCAGAGCCAGGGCCCATCTTTTTGTGAATGGACTGTAGGCAAAAATGCACAGTGTAGGACCATGAGCGAAAGAAATAAACTTTCTCTTTGCACTCGAGGGTAATACGACACCGTCTACCACCTTGACGACCTAGGCAAAAAAAGCATAGGGATTATAAACATTTTCATTTCTGCTATTTTTTTTAAGACATAACCTAGGATTTGAACCCGCACTATCGCCCTGCATGCATTCCCCGATACACTTCGCATACATACTCATTCTTCCAAGTTGCTTCACGTTATGATCTTACATTTGAATATTGTGGCCAGCTGTCTTTGATGGTACGGTACGGGACAGGTACGGGATAGCGCCAAGCATGCCGAGGGCACAAACACACCAACAAACACGGAATTAAAGCTGTGTGGACCCTGGCTAGCGCCAGACGTTAACGTCTTTTGCATAGCTACGGGAATAAATTCTGTATTGGGGGAGCCAATTGGCTGAACTCTATACAGGGAGTGATATCTATCTAAACTTTGAACTTACAGTTTGTTAGGTACCTCCTCCCGTACAATCTTACCCACAACCTTTCCCAAGCTGGCTGGCCTGCATGCACCCGTACTACGTCATACTCACCTTTCGTTCCGTTGGCCTGGGTAGGTACTTGCGCGCCCATGTTTGCCATAAGTACCCAGGCCCTTTATATTGTGTTGTTTCTCATTCGAGCTCTCTCTCTCTCTCTCCAATAATCTCGCTCTCTTCAAATAATCTCGCTCTCTTCAATAATCACAATGTAGTCGTTTTGTTCGTCCTGGTCTTAGTCATCCCGTCGCTAATAAATGTCGTTCCCATCAACCTACCTGTTCCCGTTGACAGTTGTTTTAGTGAGTTAGGGCGCGCTCACACTGCGACCAAAACCAGCGTCCATGCGGCCATGCGGCCAAGTTGTATGGCAACGGCATGAACTTGACCAAAACCTGGCGGCCACGTTTCAAATCGTGACCGCGACCTCCGGAGGGGGGTGCCACGACTTGGCGGCAACATGATCGTAGACGTGAAGCGTATTTGTGTACAACCTGGCCTGAAGTATGTTCAATTTCTCAAATTCCGGTGTGTTGATTCATGAAACTCGGCGGCTGTCGATGTCATCCTCGACATTTGTATTGCACATTTAAAAAAATTTGCAGTTGTGGTCCTGCACGCACGCACCGCCATATATGCATTCTTTGCCCTTTTTGGACGATGTCAATTTTGTTTTTGTAGTTGCTTCGTTGTCAGTTGATCGGGTCAGTGACCAATTTCTACAGTGTACTCGTTCAATACGATTATTATTATTATTATTATTATTTTTTCTTATTTTGTTAGGGATTTCCCAACAGGCAATGTTGCCTTTTTACTGGGAACCCTAAATGAGACTTTGTGTGAGCGCGAAAAAAAGCAGGCGACTCGGCCAGGCGACAAGATGGAGGCAGCGCATTCCACCTGTCGGCACCAAGATACGCAATGGAATGGAAACCATACCGGGAGTGGCAGGCAGGCAAGACAAGAGCAGCTGTAGCTTGGCCGACGATGGCAGCTTGGTCTGGCTTTTCGGTTTGGGAAATCATCTTTCTCTACTTTTCTGCGATGATGGAATGCCATACCTCAAGACATTAATTTTCAGTTTCATATCATCGGAAAATACAGTTCTCATCTCGGCAACAGACGAAAGAAACCACTACCGGAATTTCCACTGCACTGGCACTTGCTCTGACCACGAGGTCAGGAAAGCGAAAGCGCTTGAATGTCAGCAGCAGTCCCTCAAGAGTCCAAACCTACCTGATTGTATGAATTATTTTCGTCGACTTCAAGAATACGAGCCACGAGGCACTTCCTCCAAAATGCAACATGCGAAAAATTACATCCAAAACGGGCCACAACTTTATTAGGAAACGCACGAACTCTTTGGATACGAACTGCAATTCGTAAAGTTTGTGTGACGACTTCACGTCTACGCATGTACGAGGCCCAGTGTGAGCACGACTGCCACGTTTCTGCGTTTTGCTGACGCATGGACGCGTGCTCATGGTCGCAGTGTGAGCGCGCCCTAAGAACCCTCTCTAAGTCGTACTCAACAAGTTGATTCCAAGTTTGGACTGTATATAGTGGATTTTGGACCAATGGACTCTATATAGGGGATGGACATCATATCGGGGTTGGACGCTCTACTCACTCCAACATATAATTATAATGAGCAAAACTGATTGGCTGCTCTCTGTTATGTACTGCGCCAGTCATCAACATCTGAGCTATTATGTCGTATGTCTGGCCATTGTTATTGCAGCTGTCATTTGTCCATGGCGAGGAACAACACTAGCGAATGGTTACATAACCGCATACAGTCGATCTTACTCGGAAGGCATAGTCTCCAACTGCAGTGCTGGGTTTTACATAAGCGGAGCGTCAAGCGACACTATAACAAGCCATTTTTCCAAATGTCAAGCAAATAGGACCTGGTCCAGCCCTGCTCCAACTTGCACTGGTAAGACATGTCTAAAACTGCATGTTGGATAACACAGCTGTAGTATGCACATCTACATATGCGCTGTTGCATTCCTGGGCAACACCAGACATTCATGATGGTAGTACACTGTGTTATGTTAGTCATCTCGCATGTGCCGTTTCAGGGTTTTTTTCATACCGTTCAACAAAAATGCAGTCGATAGTCACCTTTAAAGGGTTCATAAAGGCACATTGGTCCGGGTAGAAATCGGGGATTCACCCCCGTGCGTTTTGGTTTACATGGCAAGACAATTTTGGATAATGGAAAATAGGGTAATGGGGAAATTAGTTCCCCTGCCTGCCCCTACCATTTTGACCTGGCTAGAACCTTACGTTTTCCTCTTGTGAGTATTTAGACTTGCCGGTTTTTAGTTGCTGTGCAAGAGTAGGTATCGGAGATCTTGTTGTTTTTGAATTGAAGAAAAGAAAGAATACTGCATTGGTGCTGCAAGCTATTTCGTTCCTAAGTGGTGAGCATGGGTGACCGACAACACCCGCCATTCCGCATCTGGTTCTTTTCTAATTTATGTCTCCCCTACGATGCGGCCACTTGCCAGCCCACCTGGACACGGAGTTTCATTCGTGTAGTGCCAAAGAAATTCGGAGGCCACCGGTTTATTGTGCAGTATTAACCTTGATGATGGTACCTCACCGGAAGAATTCAGCCTACGGTAGATGACTATCGATGACGTGGGCCGTCATGGTATTAGACATGACGGTGGTTCCCTGATGTCCAAAGTCGATATCCGGTACACATTCTGTTTGTTTCCTGTTCATCCCGAGAATTGGCCACTTATAGGCGTGGTGTGAAAGGATCACTACTATGTGGACAAAATCCTGCCATTTGGTTGACGCTCGTCATCCATCCTCTTCAATTCAGTCGCAGACATCATTTGCTGAGTGCTTCGCTGTAACTACGGCCTCAGCGCACTGGAACACCATCTGGACGACTTCATCAATGTCTACCACCTAGTGCCATTCCCATCAGGCGAACAGCTATGTTAGACATAGCAAATTGTGCTGGGAATACGCCATTCAACAGCTTGCAAGGCTGATGAATTGCCCGCTCTAATTTTAGCCTGGTGTCCACCACACAGCTGATTGAAGTGGCTTTTTTTTTTTATACACACACGCCACACCACATCGTCCGGCATACACTGGCTGTTGGTAACTACCCAGGAGAATGAAAGAAGAGCCAGGAGAGTGAGAAAGAGAAGAAAGACATGTGCGACCACTATCGTCAAGAATTGAACCCGCAACCTCTCGATTGGAAATCAACTGCACATACCACTGCACCATATGGGACACGAGAGCAGCGGTTGCCAATTGACAAGTTGTCTGCCTTACTGGGCTTGCTTGCGGAGAGAGTCCCTTGCTCATCGGTGACCAAGCGGGAGCTGTTGGCAAAGGACAAGTTTCTTACTCCACTGGGTGAATGAAGCACAGGTGGTGGCATGGTAGAACAGCTCCTGCCAAAATGCAATGGCCATGAAATTGAGAAGGCTAATCCTAACCCGGGCTCCACTTGGCAATTTCATTATATATATTCGTCACATCGCTGGCATTAACAACAGTACTGCTGATGCTCTTTCTCGGTTACAGATCGGCCGGTTTCGTCAGCTTGCACCCCTAGCGGAATCATCACCCATCCTGGTGCCGCCAATCGATAATCTCTGTGTAATTTAACGTGGAAGCCAACTTTCTCGTTACCAGATCTGTAGCGACCAGCTTTGCCAGAAAATTTGCCTACCTCGCGTTTAGCAGATCAGTGAACCTAAACCCCTGCTGCCCTCTACAAACGACATTGTGCTGTTTGTTACCCACCTATTCCATACACAACGCTTGCTGCTGTTTGTTTCTATTTTTTGTCGGAATGCTGCTAATATTGAGTGTTTGCACCCCCCCCCCCCCCCCACCTCACTGCTGTTCTTAGAGGTCTGGATCGCAGTCAAGAAGACCCTAGCCCAAGAACACAGCTAGGAATCCCGTGCTAGCCCTACACTGCGAGTGCTGTTGCTACCAACCAGTGGTACTCCTACTCGGCTCCAATCATCTATGGGTCTAAGAGCACCGCCAACCCGCACTGAACATGAAAAGGGTTGTCTCACATTCCAAAGGAGTAAGGCTCTGGAGTGCGTTGCCCAGCGAGGTACGGGCCATACTGCACCCGGCCCAATTCCGCACTGCTTCTGGTCCACACAGCATGAACCCTTGAAGTCAGACGGATCACTATCGCCATATTTTTAGTACATGCCTGGCTGTTGGCCTGCCTGCCTGTCTCC